CCCCCCCCCCCAGCATATTTGGCCACTTAAATAGTTAAAACAACAAAAATACAGGTAGTATGTTAATTCATCGGGGGGTCTTTAAGCTAAGGATTATAGAGATCTGGAGTTTTGTGGGAAGAGGAGGCAGTTTTTCTTGACAGAGGGGATAAGTGGCTGCCATTGAGCCTCTGTAGCACCAGAAGTGTTTTACTTGCTTGGATTAAGAGGCTCTGGGAAAGAGCAGAAGTGAAACAGCCTTGATCAAAATACAATATGTATGGGTACTTTTCCTGTGATAATCCAATTTTTTTCTTACAGCTTACAGTGATGTTTATTGTAATTATTATTATTTAACAAAATAAGTAAGGGCTTATAGCACTTCTGTGGCTTATAACTATCATACTGTATATCACCTAAGGAAATAAGAATTTGGGATTTTGATAGAGGATTAAGGATGTTTGAGGAAGAGAAACACAGTTTTTGAAACCTTTGAGGAGAACCTTATCCTATGCTTTGTACAAAAACATTAAAAAATAGTCCTTTGTTTGTCTCACTTTATTAATAGTATGTTCCTCTGAAGAGCAGAGAGGAAATAGAAGATTTAGGCTCTATGCCTGCCTGTGACATTAGCAAGTTCTTGACTCACTCTTTGAGCTTGAGTCTGTTTGCTGTTTTATCCATTACATCATATTACAAAGTCAGGTTAGTGGAAAACTAGTGGAGTGGAAAACTTTGTAACTTTAGGCATGATTATTATACAATGCACAGTTAACTTTGTTATGATGAAATCTAAATTATCATAAGCATCGAGGAAGCTGAAGACTGTTTTGCGTGATCTATGCTTCTTTATCAGACTGACCTATCTGGTTGGTACAAGGAAACTTGCTGGCATTTCTCCCTCCCCCTCCCCCCCCCCCCCCCCCCCCCCAAGCAATCAATGGTATTGGTCTGGAGTGAGGACCCTAAAGTGGTATTTTTAGAAATTAGAATTAAGGAATAATTTAGGTAGGTTGGAAGGGACCTCTGTAGGTTGCTTGTTCTATTCCCCTACTTAAAGTAGGGCCACCACTGATACTGGGTCAGGCTGCACAGGACCTTGTTGGGTTGTTCCAAATCTCTCTGAGGATGGTGCTTCCCCAGCCTCCCTAGGCAGCCTGTCCTGGTTTTTGGCTACCCTCACTGTGAAAATTTCTTTCTAAATAATGTAAATTT